AAATCCCAGATCGAAAATTTAGACAGCCGTGTTAGCTCAGTAATGGGATTTCTCTCATCACACATCACCCACCTCCACACCGACTGTCGCCATGTTATCTACACATCTTAAATTCTGCCTATTTTTGATTACTGCTGCATAATTTGGGCTGGCATTTCTAAAACACTGATTGCTCGACTCGAAGTTATGCATAGGCGTCTTTTGAAAATATTATTTCGGCTTCCTCGCCAACATCTAAAATCCTGCCAATGTTACAATACATTCACACAGCTACTGCAGAATGCAACATACTAGTTGATATCCAGCCCTGCCCTAGCTTCTCTTGCTTTTCAGTTCCCCTTTCATTCTTTTTCTTTCTCCCCTCTAGCTCTATTACCGCCATGGCTGGCTATCGCCCTCATCACCATTTCATTGGCTAGTGCCACGTGATTGGGAATAAATATAATAATAATAATATCACCCCATTCTTAAATTCCGGCAGGGTGATCACACCTCTCCGTCCAACTATCGCCAAGTGTCGCTTACGAGCATTCTCAGCAAAATGCTCGAGCGTCTTGCCCTTGATCAACTGCTGCGGGACTTCCACCTGCATACTTGTCTACACGATCATCAATTTAGCTTCCGGCCCCAGCGATCAACAGTGCAGGTCATGGCCTTGGCTGTAAATGACTGGGCGTTGGCTAGAGACGTGGGTCATACAACCCTTGTAGCATGTATTGACTTAAGCAAGGCCTTTGATCGAGTTGTGCACCAGGAACTTTACTTTTCACAACTTAGGCATTCATAGTTCTGCCCTGAAATGGTTTGCTTCCTACCTGAATGGCCAGTATCAGCATGTATGTATAGCCTCTGGAACATCATCTCTTCTTCTGGAACAATCTTGGGTCCCACCCGTTTCCACCTATATGTGCGACTCTTACCTGACCTGGCTGCAGGGAGCGGTGCAAAGCTGCTCATGTTTGCATCCAAAAAACCAAAACAAAACCAGGTAGCAGATGTTTTGCACAAGGAGTCTGCAGTCCAACCGACTGCCGTCCTGCAATGACGCTCTTCTAAAGCACTGTGTCCGCTCCTATTACCGAGCTGGTATTTGAAAGCGATGCATCTTGTCACATGTGGATGCACCATCACCGAATGAGAAAGAACAAGGTTAGAGCAGCAATAGTAAAGTACACCTAAGTAAGAGAATGGCAGAATGTATTTCATTATGTAGATATTGTCTGTGTTGGTGGTGAATAAGACAGTGCCGCAGGTTTTAATACTTATGTACCTGTATTATTATTATTATTTTGCTTGTTCGCGTTGGCATCAACCTGCATAAAGCAGGTATATAGCCTTCGCTTAAGCTGCCATCAAAAAGAAAGCTCATCCTAAGCGAGAGGGCTAGAGGGAAATATAACGATAACGAGATACAGAATACAAAGAAATCCAATGAGTTCAACGTACAATTCAAAACAAGAAAGAAAGGAAAGAAAAAAAGAGCCGAATCTACCGATTGATCCATCAATCGACAAAGGGGACTAATCCGTTAGTGTTGCAAAGTAGAAGCTGATTATAGTTGCAGATCTCCAGGCCAGGGCCAGCATATTGCCGATTCTGGATAGGTCTCCGCAGCATTTGATGTGGTAATTATCATAATGTTTGATAAAATTGTTAGAGTATCTAGTATCTAGAGTATCTAGTGTAATTGTATCCGTTATTATTGTTAAGGGTATCTAGTGTAATTGTATCCGTTATTATTGTTAAGGGTGTCTAGTGTAATTGTATAACTTCAGCCATTACACACAGCACACATTAGTTCCTTCCACTTTCGACGATCCTGGGCGAGCTAGTACCTGTAGCCCAGAAAATGCTGTATAGAACCAGTGTACTTGATATCTCTGTATGTAATGGAGTTTGAACATTTTTCATGTCACTGTGATTCTTCTCTTCATATTACAAGCTGGCACCTTGAAGGCAATGGGACATTGGCAGTTGATTGGTTAAGCCTGCCACCTGCTCCAAAGTCAATCCTAGAGTTTTGTTGTTGTTTTGTTGCTGTTGTGTACCACCTCCTCTGGGATACCTTGCAACAAATCTTATGACAGATCGGTGTCAGCATCAGTGGATGCCGGAACTGTCTTTCTTTGGCCGACAACCACACCCCGCAGCACGGGTGATAGCACATCTTCTTCTTATCATATTATCTACTATTATCATTATAATTTTACCTCTACCTTCATTTTAAAGTGTTTCCAGACAGTCCCTATGATCTTCTTACGGGAGCTCCTATACCAGAAAAGTTAGGCATGAAATATGAATGTTCGGTAGTCCATGAAAGCGTGACAGTAATAGTAACTTTACAGATTATGCCTGTACTAAGACTTGATTATTATAATCAGAGCCTTCATTTATTGCATTCCCACCTCGTCACAGCCACTCGCCCTCATTGCTGTTGTACAATGTACATGTATAAGATTGATCATTCCTTTACACTTCATTATCATCATTATCATCCTCTACTGATGAGCTCCGGCAGGGAGCAAAACAGCTGTCTAGAGGCGTGGAAAAATAATATTATCTCTCAACGGAAGTCTCCTTGCTGGTGTTTTTATGGTTCAGCTGAGAGCGCGTGGTCGAGACGGAATGCAATATGAGCCTGGATAAGCAAAAAACATCACATGTGCAAAATTTTCGAAAAATATTTTTGTGCTCCAAATTGATCCACAACCACTGATAACCAGGCTCAAGAAATTTTAGATCAATCACAGCGCCGTAAGTGACCAAAAAATGCGGTACACCACATCTCTGTACAAATGTTGGAAGTGGCATTTCTGTGTAGGATGCAAGTATGAGCATTGGTATGTGTCTGATCCTGTTAGGCATTGCCATCACTCAGCCGGCTAACAAGGAGGAATTTTATAGTCCTTGGGGGTGTACTCAGACACTGGCTCGTCCAAGTAAATCATTGGCTTCACTGACTATCGTGCAGCTAATGGCATATGGCCAAGTTCCAGGGGCTGATATTGAATCCACACCAGCCTCGGTACTGATGCTCTCCAAGCCCTTCACTTCCATGAAAACATATCTGCACACACGGAGTGCAATCACAGCAGCTGTGACTACTTAGCACACAGGCTCATGAGCATGAGGTACGTACTAGGTGCAGATACATTCAACGGTTACCTGACCCTACAGGAACATATTTTTTTCAATTATTTTGGGAGCTGCTGCATGGACCAAATAAATGTTTCAAGTAACGTTGCTCAGTGTCCAAGCCAAGAAAGCAGATCTTGTCTGGCGCTAGCTCACGTTGCTCTTCGAGTCGTGAATCGAGACGCCTTTGCTCTGCATCGTCACTGTCGATATCCGACAAACTTACTAGTGAAGGAGTCGTTCATCGCTCAACAATATCCACTCGAGTCGTCGTCATTCTCATCAGCGCTGCTTTCTTCTACACGAAGTCTGCAGCCTCGCCGAGTCGCTTTGCGGCAGGAGAGAGTCATCCTCTGGAGCTCCGCGGCTTTCACCTGACTCCCTTGATGAGCAATTGCCATCCCAGTCATCACCAAAAAATGTCGTGTCGTGATTGGCGTCAACGACGATCGATGCGCGTGCGATGCTCGCGCCCCGCGATCGTACCTATTCGCTAGCCAAGCTCAGGTACATGGGGTTTCCCAGCCGTGTCTCCTCACTTGCCTGGGGCTCGCCTAGCTAGCTAGTCACTGAAAAACAAACAAACACGGGCTTGTCAGGCGGAAAGAAAGACTAGTGACAAGAAAGACAGAAAGGTGGTGGGTTGTTGTTAGGTCCGCGACTTTTCTTTCGCTCGACTTCAACGTCACTTTTTGATCAACTTGATATCAAACACAAGCGATGTTTTTCACTGATCCGGGCTCATATATTGGAAATATGGCCGAAAGCTCTGTCGCAATATTTAGTTGCAGAGCCTTAATGCTAGGAAATCATAACTTATCCTTCTAGCGTATTTATCAACATTTCCTATTTTGTACAGGCTCCTGGTTTGTAAATATTTTCTCAAATGTGACTTATATTGCATTCCGTGTATTGACGCTATTGTGTTCTATTCCAAGCAATGCTATTGAGGTGGTAAGACACCTCCGATCTTCATGAAAATTGGTACACAGCTAGGTCTGGGCCTTGGCTACTTCATTCCAAAGCAACACTGTTGGTATTTAATCTGCAAGATACCTAAATTGGGAATTATCACTTTGGTTGCTATGGCAACACTCTTCAAGAAGTATTTCGTCGATTTGGTCAACAAAGCCCCGTGTTTCTGGGTCAAGTGACAATGATCCTGAAAGCTCTACATATTCTCTATCATTTGCACATGGCAAACCTTTGTCCCTCTAGAACGGGAGCGAAATGTCACTTTTACGCACCTTGGCCTGTGGACTAAGTGCAGGAATATTTTAAATTACTGGTGCTATACAACACGACATTTACAAACTACTACACACTCTGACAATGGAGAATACTACTGCAAAACATCATACTCATTTTTCAGTGCTTCATAGTATGCACATTATATTCAAGTGGACGCGGGTGAGGACTTACAGCTGGCGACGTTGGCAGTTGACAAATAACAGCTTTCGTAAATCGCCCTAGACGCTGAGCAGTAGCTCCCCAACGATTTACCACTCACTCAAAACTGCAAGGCTTTCAGCGTAGCAATATACTTCGCCATTTGAGAATTGAAAGTGGATCCACTGACCAGAGTCTGTGCACCCACTTCAGTCTCTCTCCAATACAGTAGGTTTTGCACAACACACTGGGCTGAACTACACATTTTGTTTTTGTATTTTATGGATTCTCCACAGGCCTTAGCCTAAATCGAGGGAGTCTCCGTCAACAGCTTATGAAGAAGAAGCTGAGGAGAAAAAATAGAAATAGGAAATAGAATGATGCGGGGTGGTAGTAATATAACACAGTGCTCTATGACATCGTTACTCTACGTGGAATGAAACCATCACTGAATGCTACCTGTATGAGATACTTACCAATGCAAACTGGCCAGAGGTCTTGACCGTCGCAGTACTGGGTTGCAGGTACACCCGGCTCCAAGGCCAATCCTGGATGGCAGGTCAATTTCTTCAAAACATTGGTAATGTCAGTGACGGTGCCTAGAAAACTGCTGCTTTTCGGGCATGCTTGAGCTGAAGGAGAAGAAACAAAGAGAGTACTCAACGATGTATGAAGGCAGCAAAGGGAGCAAATGAGTGGAGAGCGACGAGGACAGCGGTCGTGAGAGTGCCGGTGAGAGTGTTGGTGTTGTGCATAGGTTTCGTAGTAGAAAGTCTTCAGTGTAAAATCATCTGCTAGCTAGTCCTGATTGTTGCAATTCGTATTCCGACTTCTTTCACTGTGTTGTGACGTGGTCGTCATGGTAATGGACAACAGTTAAAAGTTTTGGAAGCCATTAATCAGTGTTTGTACAAGCCTAATTTGTGTGTGCGGAAAAAATAGTCGAATTAGGTGGAAATGGTTCAAATAATGTGTTGTGTTTTGGTGTGGCCAAGCTTGGCCGTTTTGTCCAAATCAGTGTCACATATAATTATGGTCCTCTGTGCGTATGGGTGTGGTGAGTTGTGTGCCAGATATTGGGAGTGGTGTGAAGGGCATGATGTGTGATGGATATGAACTTGCTGAACTACACGGTCTCATGTACTCTCTCTTTCTCAATCTAACCCCTCCCCTCCTGCTCCCTCTGTTCTTTCTCTTTCCCTCACACTTCCATTAAATGTTATCTGGTGCCTCCAGAGCGGGATGCTGTTGAGACCAGTTGGTCGACAGCGCGCCTAGCTCCCACCACCCTGGCTGCTGCATGTTCCCATTGTGTGCACCACATGGGTTTTAGTAAAAAAAAATGGTATGTGTAGTGCATGCAGGAGTATGTGTTGTTGAGTGTGGGAATCTGCTTCCATCCGCCTGAGAGCATTTGTATACTGGTTGTTGGGGCATGCGTAGACTATTTGGAGTATGCGCTGTGAGAGTAAGGTCCAGGTGTGAGAGAGTGGTGTGATTCGTCCACGGTGCTGCTGTCTTGGTTCTTGTCACGTGTGTCGTACGTACTGTTGGCTCATTGGTCGTTTCGATCTGTTCGCCTTTTATCCTGGATATAACTGTTAGTCGTTTATGATTTCGTTGTCTGCTTCTCCCGTTCTCTCGCCAAGTATCAGATAATAACAATCCCTCCCATACACCAATGAGTCAGAGTGTCGTGTTGTTGCGGGGAACGGGGGAGCAGGCCGTTTCACATGTATCCTTTTCTCATATGTCCGAGTTGATAAGGGGTTTTTCTTATATCGACTCAACCTTATCAACTGGCCAATCGACTTATCCACTCAGTCATTTCACCTCTAGTTCTCACTATGACAGACTGAATTTGTCGTTTGATCTTTGTCCTCCGCTGGAGTAATACTCTTCATCCGTTAGTCTATCTCCTGGAATTCCTGTTGCGGCCAATAACTAAAGCTGCATGAAGATCCACAGTACTAACCTGTACATTCTTTAATCCCGGTACTGTTCAGCATTGTCCTATTGGCGATATACCCGGGTGAGCAGCATTTAAAGCCTCCAATCTCATTGAAGCACCTTGTATATTTACAGAGTGGGTAGCGCCCAAGACACTCATTGATGTCTGCCACAAAATAAAACACACACACACATGCACAGAAGCAGGTACAAGCATACACACACACACGCACCCCAGACCTCAGACATGCCCATCGCGGAAGCGATGATAGCGAACAGCTATGTTAGACATAGAAACTTGTGCTGGGATTACACCATTCAACAGCTTGCAAGGCTGATGAATTGACCGCCACTATTTTCTGGCCTGGTATCCACCACACAGCTGATTGAAGTGGCTTTTTTGGGCCAATGAATCCCTGTTTTTTCATTTTTCATTTTTTTACACACACACACCACACCACATACTCCGGCATACACTGGCTGTTGGTAACCACCCAGGAGAATGAAAGAAGAGCTAGGAGTATGAGAAAGAGAAGAAAGACGTGTGGGACCATAATCGTCGGGAATTGAACCCGCAACCTATCGATTGGAAATCGCTGCACACACCACTGCATGCACACACACACACACACACACACACACACACACACACACACACACACACACACACACACACACACACACACACACACACACACACACACACACACACACACACACACACACACACACACACACACACACACACACATACACACACACACACACACACACACACTTACGCTAGTAAAATCAAGGGCATATTTTAGTGTCAAAAACCGGCTCACCTTTTGGAGAATTTTCCCTCAATTTCCCAAAATACTCCATGTGAAATAGGCATCAAAATCCCACTACTCCCGACCCCACTACTTCCAACCCCACTACAGTCAACTTCGCTAATAACGACTGCGGATATAACCACAATTCGCGAATAATGACAGAATTTTCATGCTCAGAGCAAAGTCCCATCCAACTGTGACACATATAATGAGACTTCGGGTATAACAACACTTCGCGAATAAGGACACTTTTCTGATGCCCGCCGAGTGTCGTTATAAGCGAAGTTGACTGTACTCCCAACTCCTCTACTCCCAGTCCCACCAATCCCAACCCCACAACTCTTAACCCAACTACTTCCAGCCTGATTACTCTTAGCCCTGCCGAACAAGAGACGTGCAGGCGCAAACTCCAAATGACCCGATTCACATGTGCCCACCCTGAAACTATGCATAAGACGTTACTTAAGAGAGCAGGTCTGAGAAAACCAGAAAAGCTGGGCAGGGCCATCTCTCCTATTTCGACCTGTTGGGTACGGAAATGCGTCCATAGCTATTTCGTGTATCTGGTAAGTTGGTCGTTTGTCCCGTGCATTTTTTGAGGATGCCAACAGTAATTTTGTGTTGCACGCATGGATGACATCTGTTGCCGGAGCGACATAGCTCGACAAAGAGAATACCGTTGATTTCTATCGTCATAATGTCTCCATTCCCACCTGATCTATATTCCTGCAACCAGATAACGTGATGGGCTCAACACATTATTGGTAATTTTAGCATATTCATCGGAGTCCTAGAAATTTAATTTTTATTATGAGCTGAATTTCAAAATATCCTCCTTGACAGGTCGATGGAGTCGCGCTGAGACCAAACGCTGTGTGGTCAACCAGCCCTGCATTTCAACTGATTAGATTGTCGACCTTTTGGGGACCAATAATTGCTCAACAAGATAATTACAACAAGTAGACTTATGCTCGCTCCCGAACCTGAGAAAAACCCACACCTCGCTGCGTGCTGCGAACTCCGGCAACTCAGGTAAATTACGCAAAAATCGTGTTGCTGATTAGCCTTCGTCGATCAGATTTCGATTCTGATCTTGATTATGGATCAACTTGATCACATCCGTGATCTGCTATGTCACGCGGGGGTCGGCGCACGGCCAGTATCAGGACGCAAAAATATCGTGCTTCGATCGCACCAATCGAGATTTGTTCAATATGTTTTGCACTTCTGCAGAGCTTTGCTGCTAGCGAAATCCGAGTCGTTCAGGGAAGGAAATGGTTGTTGTTTGGAGTGACAAGGATTGTCGGTTGAAATTTCTTGTCAGACTCGGTAGAGGTGACCACGCTACAGTGTTTGGCATGCTGGCGTCTGGAGTGGTGCCTGGTGTTGGAGCTTGAGGAGGCGCTTTCCGTCCTCGGGTAGGAAATTGGCAATGCTGCAATGTGGTTAAGTGAACATATTTAAATTTGTTTATTCCCGTAGATATGCAGAGGACGTTACTTCAGTAACGTCTGGCACTAGCTAGGGTCCACACAGCTTTAATTCCCGTAGCTATGCAGAAGACGTTACTTCAGTAAATTCTGGCGCTAGCCAGGGTCCACACAGCTTTAAAGGGGAAGTGCATCGATTTTTCGAGTATGGTCCAGAAGAAAGACAATTTGATATCGGTTCGAATAGCATATCTCTCGCTTCCATACGATAAGCCAAACTTGCCAAATCGCCAATTGTATACTCACGTTGCCATATCGACCAGCGCAGTGATGACGTACGAAAGGCTTAGCTCCACCACAGAGAAGGTCGTTCACTGCAGAATTTGGTCTTTTTCAATTGGTTTATTGTATTCACGAAGTGAAAGAAGGGCTGTGTTTGATGCTGTAAGTGCAGTGAACTGTTTGTTAGTAGTCCTCTCGGTTGTGTACTGGGACGTGACACCGACAGGAGAAAGCTGGAGCGCGGAGACACCAGCAGACAAGCGAAAATAGTGACGAACAAAATGCTGAAATCTTGGTTGGGACAAATCAGACGTTCAGCATTTCCCCCAACCAAGGACCATGCCGTTTGCTCTTTCCACTTCCTGAAGATGAATGTGATGCTTCCTGGCGACTCTCCTATCTCTCGTAACATCTTCTGAAGCCAGGTGAGACGACGGGTGGTGGAGATTGACGAATGAAATAATGTCGTAGGTTTGAAAGTTTGCTGAAAATGTCTAAGGAGAGACGGCAAATTCCAAGCATCTTGTCCAGGAGGAAACCATTCCCTAGGCACAGTCAGCCTAGGGAAATGCATGAGAAAGGCGACAAATAGTTCACGGCACTAACATCATTGAACTCAGCACTTGTTTCACATCGTGAATACAATAAGACAATTGACAATGGCCAATTTATGCAGTGATTGACCTTCTCTGTGGAGGAGCTAAGCCTTTCGTACGTCATCACTCCGCTGGTCGCTATGGCAACGTGAGCATACAAGTGGCGATTTGGCAAGTTTGGCTTATCGTATGGAAGCGAGAGATATGCCATTCGAACCGATATCAAATTGTCTTTCTTCTGGACCCTACTCGAAAAATCGATGCACTTCCCATTCAATTTGGTGTTTGTGTGTTTGTGTGTTTGTGTCACGCCTGGCGCTATCCCGTATCTGTCCCGTACCGTACCGTACCATCAGACACAGCTGGCCACATGCAGCTGGCCGCACTATTCAAATAGGGCTTTCTTACGCAAGATCATAACGTGAAGCAACTTGGAAGAATGAGTATGAATGTGAAGTTTATGGGGGAATGCATGTAGGGCTATAGTGCGGGTTCGAATCCCAGGATATGCCTGAAAAATAGGAAAATTGAAAAAAATTATACCATCCCTATTCTTTTTTTCCGTCATCAAGGCGGCAGATGGTGCCGTATTACCCTCGACCTTACCTGTCCCGTACCTGTCCCGTACCGTACCGTACAATCAAAGACGGCTGGCCACAATGCATATTCAAATAGGGCTTTCAAATACAAGATCATAACGTGAAGCAACTTGGAAGAATTAGTATGTATGCGAAGTGTATCGGGGGATGCATGCAGGGCGATAGTGCGGGTTCGAATCCCAGGTTTAAAATATGTCTAAAAACAAAAAGTACAAATTTATAAGAATTTATAACATCCCCATGCCGTAGTCAAGTGGTGTGCTTCACTGTCCGAAGATTGCTCAATGCCCATGCAGGGCAGAGCCTTGTACACAAGAGAGAGTTTGGAAGCTTCGCTACAACACGCCGGGCGTGACACAAACACACAAACAAACACCAAACGAGAGAGCTTGAAAGCTCAGGGCCCTACGCTATGCTTTTTTGCCTTGATGACCTAGGCAAAAAAAGCATACGGATGTTATAAATTCATACACAAATTTTCCTTTTTTTTTTAAAGACATAACCTCGGATTCGAATCTGCTCTATCGCCCTGCATGCATCCCCCGATACACTTCGCATACATACTAATTCTTCCAAGTTGCTTCAAGTTATGATCTTGCATTTGAAAGCCCTATTTGAATATGCATTGTGGCCAGCCGTCTTTGATGGCAGGGTATGGTGCGGGACAGGTACGGGATACCGCCAGGCGTGACACAAACACACAAACACACAAACAAACACCACGCGTGTGAGTGTATGTTTGTTTGTTTGTTTGTTTGTGTGTATTCTTTATTTAGAGTGGGAAGTCCAAAACAGGCCCTAGCCTAATAACAATGGTCCCACTAGTGAGGGAATGCTGTATATCTGTGCATAAGCCTAGCGGATCAGTGAGTGTAACAGCAACTAGTAGGGAAAGAAAAAGAGAGAAGAAAAACAACTCAAAACAGGAGTTGCGATTTGCATAGGGAGAAAATAACGCAAAGAGCAGTGCATACAGTATTTGTAAAATGGCTTATTTATCTGGTAAGCAAAAAGGCAAGAGCCATTGACTTAAAGCGATTGCGTTTTCTTTCTTGCCTCACCGCAGCGGGGAGCTGGTTCCATAAGATGGTCCCAGCATAGGTAACACGTTTGGCAAGATATGCAGTTGGGCTGGCTGGGACAATCAGAAAATTGCTGTGCCCACCACGAGTTTGAGTGGAATTACTGCGGCTGAAAAAGTTAGCGAACAACATGCTGATGTTAGAGGAGTCATGGAGACAACGCCAGATAAAAACCAGAAGGTGCATGTTGGTGTATGTGGTCAATGTTTGGATGTTCATGCGTGTAAGAATATTGCTTGTGGGTGTCCCGGGAGGTACCCGACAGACTGTGCGTACAGCACGCTTGAAGAGCCCATTAAGCCGTCGACTTTGATACGCCGTGAGAAATGGTAAGTAAGCAGAAGCGGCATACATAAAGT